ACCCACCACCACCACACCACCACCACCACCACCACCACCCCAGAACCTCCACCATTACCTGCACCACCATCCAGCAGCAGCAGCAGCACCACCACATCACCACCCACCACCACCACTACCTGCACCACCACCACCACTACCCGCACCACCACCACCATACCCTGCACCACCACCACCTACCAGCACCACCAAACCACCACTACCCAGCACCACCCCACATACCCAGCACCACCACCACCACCACTACCCCACCCACCACCACCATCCAGCAGCACCACCACCACCATCCAGCAGCAGCACCACCACCACCACCCAGCACCACCACCATCCAGCAGCACCACCACCACCATCCCAGCAGCACCACCACCAGCAGCACCACCACCACCACCACCCAGCACCACCACCCACCACCACCCAGCACCACCACCATCCAGCAGCAGCACCACCACCCACCCAGCACCACCACCACCCAGCAGCACCACCACCCAGCACCACCACCACCTTTCCCTTACTCCCACATACGGACTGAGGCACGAACCTTTACACAAATTCTCTCCCTCTCTCAGTATATTTTAATAAAGCTGAATGGACCTTAAGAACACTTAAGATAAATTTTGGTGCTTTTACTTTTTTTTTGCATAATTTGGACCGAAAATTGTGGTGGTATTTAATTCACGCGTAAATAATACTGAGTAACATAGAGGAAGTCAGCCAAGACTGAGACAGGAAGTATCAGTGCTGGATTAACACTGTCCTGACTCTGAACCTGAACCTACATATCCCTCGACCTTGCACTATGAAGGATAGGAATTATCTGAACCAGTGAAATAGTTAAGAGGCGGGTCCAGGAGGTGCATCTAGCACATCTTGGTGAACTGGTAATTAAATAATATCTTTATTTGGCTGTCTTCAAGAAGGCACTGGACAGGCACCTAAAGTCAATACTTGATCAGCCGGTCTCTGGTTCATACGTCGGGTTGCTTGCGGCCAACAGTAACAGCCTGGTTGATCAGGCCCTCATCCACCATGAGGCCTGGTCACAGACCGGGCCGCGGGGGCGTTGACCCTCCAAACCCTCTCCAGGTATACAAGTACGTATACAAGGTATACTGGCCTAGCTGACATCTGTGACATACTATTATATAGAAAGCCGCTTGTTATGCAGAGCATTTCCCGCAAATTAGGTCAGTTTTGTCCCAGGATGCGACCCACACCAGTTGACTAACACCCAGGTACCCATTTTACTGATGGGTGAACAGGGGCAACAGGTGTAAGGAAAAGCGCCCAATGTTTTCACCCTTGCTGGGAATCGATCCTGAACACCTGAGCGTGTGAAGCGAGAACTTTCCCTACCAGGCCACGAGCCACCTTGGATCATATTCATGTGTAAGGAGAAAGTGAAGCTGCTACTGGGATAGATGATTACATCAAAAGTTATAGATACTGACTGTACATTTCTGGGGAGCAGCACATTACGAACTGTAGCTAGTCACTAGAAGAAGGAAAGTATCAAACAAGTAGTAAACTACAAGCGTGGTCACTGTATACAAGCAGAGGCACAGGTAAGCCGCGCTGCCTTCCATATTTCTAAAAGTATTGGAAAAGATAATTGAAAAAAGATTTGTGTCGATTTTAAAGAGGAGCTTCGTAAGAGAAAACCAACACAGGTTTTGGAAGACAAAAATTCAGGATCAAAATTTTGTGATAGAACAAGTGCAACAGAAAAGTGAATGCATTGGAGGAAAATGTATAGACATAAAGTGAAAAGTGCATCAAGAAGTACCTTAAGACAGATTATGAAGTACCAAAGCAAGTATTGGGAACTGGAATGTTAACAGTTGGTGGTCCAGCAATGATCAGTAATGAGACCTCTGCTCTGGTCTGTACATGAACAATCTGTTAGACGGCAACAAACCACGGAATGGGTGGGATTTGAACCCCAGGTTCAAATCCCAACTCCAGGCTTACGCACTGGCCTAGAGTTTTATGACTCACTCGCCATGGGATCAATCCCCATCGTTCCTTGGTTTGTTTATAAGCGTGTTATTACGATTTCGTGAGTGTTAGAGGGAATTTGAATTCTGTGTATCATTGCCATTGGAACGATGATAAGATTAAGAATGTTAGAAAACAAACATCAGCTGCAGGAAGAACTGGAAAGGTGAAAGGATGCTCAAACAATTGGCTGGTAGATTTCAACACAAATTAGTTCAAAGGCATGCGAATCAGCGACGGAGAGAGAACCAAATATATAAAGAAACCACTAGTAGGCTTTTGATGTTAGCGAATTGAAGAATTGACTTCAGGAACCACAATAACAAACCATTTAGGACACTATACTTGTTATGTATCAGACAGATCTTAAGAATTGGCAGCACCGCCAACATGAAGCTCACATCTAATCAAACATGTCTAGTAACGTCAAGGTTTGGGGTTAATCTAGATGTGAACTTGTAGAGTTTAGGTGGTTACATTATATTGCGAGGCTAAAGGAGCTGAAGATAATCCTTGAGGGAACAGTACCTAAGGATTACGATGATTACGATGTAGGAAATACTTTTAAGGGATTGTTATGATAGGGAAGAAATGAAATTCAAAGAACTGGATGAGGGGAGGGGGTGATAAAGCGGGACGAGCTGAATAAGGAAGTGAAGGCAGGTTTCTCAGTTTCAGGTGTAGAGATGATCATCCTTAATTGCTAAAGGTGGGACCAGGTGCTGAGATTTGACCCCTTCGAACACCAGCGAGTTCTTACGCACGCACCCAAAGATGTTAGAAAGTATTTCTTCAAGTTTGCCGGTGTGATCAAGGGGAAGCAGTTGGCAGTTATGACACTATACAACCATGAGTAAAGTGGATAAAACTGTCCCCCCTTCTTCCCTCCATAATGCTTCCTTCGTCGCTCCTTTCCCCTCCTTACCTCGTCCCTCTCTCCCTCTCCTTACCTCCACACCCGTCCTCCTCATCTCTTGCCACAGCCTGGTTGACTAGACAAGCACCAGTCCAGCCTGGTCCAGGTCCAGGTCCAGGGCCAGGCCAGGAGTGGTAATGTTTGAAGATCTCGCTTTCAAAGATCACAACAGTGCCATGATCACTTCTGCAAAGAAAATGATAGGATGGATAATGAGAACGTTCATTTCAAGATATGCCAAGCCATTGATGATTCTTTTCACATCAATTGTTCTCTCTAGGCTGGAATACTGCTGTACACTAACATCTCCATTCAAAGCAGGTGAAATTGCAGATCTAGAGAGTGTACAGAGATCCTTTACTGCACATATAAGTTCTATCAAACACCTCAACTACTGGGAACGCTTGGAAGAACTTGACTTGTACTCGCTGGAGCACAGGCGAGAGACATACATCATAATCTACACTTGGAAAATCTTAGAAGGAATGATCCCGAATCTGCGCGCGCGCTCACACACACACACACACACACACACACACACACACACACACACACACACACACACACACACACACACACACACACACACACACACATCACTCCCTACGAAAGCAAAAGACTGGGCAAGCGGTGCAAAATACCCCCAATGACAAGTAGGGGCGCCATTGGTACACTAAGAGAAAATACCATAAGTGTCCGGGGCCCAAGACTGCTCAACAGCCTCCCACCATCCATAAGGGAAATTACCAGTAGGCCTCTGTCTGCCTTCAAGAGGGAGCTGGACAGATACTTCGTCGGTGCCGGATCAGCCGGGGTATGATTAGTGCATTGGACTACGTGTGGTCAGCAGTAACAGCCTGGTTGATCAGGCCCTGATCCACCGGGAGGCCTGGTCGTGAACCGGGCCGCGGGGGCGTTGATCCCCGGAATACCCTCCAGGTAGGACCAGGCTGCAAGAGTGGGGAGGGGAAAACTCTCGAAATTTAACAAAGTTAAAGGTATATCTCTCTCTCCTTCTCTACTTCTTACCCCTTTTCATCCCTCCCTCCCTCTTAATTCCTTCCTTCCTCCCCCTTAATTCCTTCCTTCCTCCCCTTTTCTCTCCGTACCTCCTTCCATTCTATTTTCTTATGTTCTCTTGTGTCCTACTCTCCTCCTTCCGTCCTCTAGGAACTTCGGCTGTCATTTTTTTTTTTACCTCGGTGAATTTTGCAGCGACTTGAATTATTAGTAAGGCGATGCGTGTTAAGTGTCCCTGGGAGGTTCTTGTGGGTCATGGTCAGGGTGAAAGAGACCTTCATGGAAGGGTAAGGGATAGTCCTTCAGGGGAGGGTGAGGGAGTGACCTTCACGTGAACATCCTAATCACGAGAAGCGAGTACGTGACCTTGTTATAACTTTCTGTGAGGAATGTAACAGCTAGGTGACCTTGTACCAACACTGGGGAGGATAATGAGGGGTGAAAGGTGCGTGAGGTAAGTGGCTATTGACTTCTGTGTGAGTGTTGGAATTTGTTGTCAATGGTCCCTTACAGGCACTGGTAGCCCTTTCCCCCTCGCAGGCACTGGCAGCCCCCAAACAACCACTGGTAGCCCCACACAGGCACTGGTAGCCCCCAAATAGGCATTGGTAGCCCCCCTCACAGGCACTGGTAGTCCCCTCACAGGCACTGGTAGCCCCACACAGGCACTGGCAGCCCCCCCTCACAGGCACTGGTAGCCCCACACAGGCACTGGCAGCCCCTCCCCCTTCACTAGGATAAACTCTACGGTAATATAACATTAGGTAAGGTTTGTCATGAAATAAAACAAATGTTTCCTGACGCGGGTCTGTCTTATGATGACCCGCAGCTGGAGCTTTTGGTCATTTGACCGAGGCCTTCCACTGGCTTACCCCACCACCCCTTTAAAAATTATGGTTATGATTAAAGTCGTTAATTAGATACATGTTTTTGTATGTGGTAATATACGTAATGATCCATGCCATTCACATACATCACATTAATACTGTGTATTATAGCTACGAGTATTGCAAATTGAATTGTGCAGGATATTGATGCACGAGTGCTAATGTTGTTGTTGTTGTTGCAGAAGAGTTCGTGGCACACGGAGCCAACGTCAACTGCCTGGCACTGGGGCACAAGTCTGGCCGCGTCCTCGTCACCGGCGGTGATGACAAGAAGGTCAACTTGTGGGCCGTGGGCAAGCCCAACTGTATACTGGTGAGTACCCTCTACCCACAGCCTCCAACCCTCAACCCATCCCTCAGCCTTCAACCATTAACTCAGCCTTTAGCCTCCTGCTGGTTAAAGATCCAAGTCGGACCGAAACGTCATCAGTTTCTTTCTCCTATTTGCAGGTTATTCTTGCATTGTTCCAGTCAGTGTATTGTACTCTTTTGTTTATTTTCCTCACTTTTTGTTCTTCCACCTATCTCCCTCTGTATGCATTTCTCCGTCTCTCCCCACCATACTTTTTCCATCTCTCTCCTTATCTCGCTGTCTACACCCTTCCTACTCTTGCATGTATCTCTCCGTTCCTTTCTTCTCTTCTTCAACTGTCTCTTATACCTGCCTCACTTTCCCTCTTGTCCTTCTCCATCTCTTTCCCCTCCCTCCTTGCTCCACCTGTCTTCTTGAATATCTGTCCCTTCCAGCACTCCTTATTCTACCTGTCTCCCTCTCTATCTACCACCTCCATGCCTTCTGTCTTTCACTATATATTTCCTTTATTTCATTCCTGCCTTGGATTTCCTACTTTCCCTTCATCCCTGCTTCCTCTCTCTTTCCCACCTTCTTTCATTCTTGTCTTCCTCCCCTCTCACCTTCCTTCCTTCCTCCCTACCTATCTTCCCACCTTCTTCATCCCTGGCCTCACCATTCTTCGTGTCAGGTTGTGACGTATAGCTTTTGTGAAACCTGGTGCTTGCTGCATAATTGATGTAAGTGTTATTGATGTTATGATATTGATGGTGGTGTCTCGCCTCCGTGTCGCGGACACCCATTTTGGGGGGAGGCTGTGTGTGTAAGAGAGTTATGGGTGAGTGTTGTGGGTGTGGGGGGAGGGGGGTGTTGTAAATGCAAGAATGATTCTGGATTTATTGTATTTTTTTATTGTCCTTAATTCACCCTGTGATTTACCTCACGTTTCTTCTCACCTTTCTCCATCTCTCTCCCTCCCCTTCTTCCTACTCATTGGAACCATGTTGCACTCTTCTCGTAAGGAGCAATTTCAGTATGGAGATTTGGAACCAGTCATTCCACAATTTTCCAAGTATTAATTATGGTGCCTCGTTTCCCCTCGTCTATATATACTGGCCTCTTTTGTGTTAGTGTGACTTTGTAAATGGTCCAAGACGGACCGAAACGTCGTCGTAAACTTCTCTCTCCTATGTGCGGTTATTTGTCTATTGTTCCAGTCACGGTATTGTACCTTTTTGTTCTTTCTGGTGGCTCTTTCTCGCTATAGCTACAGGGACAGGGAGTACAGCTTTAATGATCTGAACGATTTCACATACTTTCATCTCACAGCTCATGTTTGTGGTGGGGGAACGCTTGGAATTGCGGTGGCCCATTATTTAATGGGCTGGAATATGTATTCCATTGCTCTAGCCGATGCGTATCGACAGAGCGGATCATCTGGCGAAGACATTCTCAAGAGGAGGCCTGCAACCCTTGCGAGTACACACACACATGAGCAAACAAGCAAGATAGGGCACCCAAGCAAGCAATAGAATGCACCTAAGTTAGACTGCAATCTAAAATTAAAAAAAAGGTCATTATATATCAAGGAATACAATGATCGATTTAACGCTAGCGTTGATGGTGGTGACTGGCGAGAGTAGTGATGCACCACCTACCGTAACTCACCGCTAGTTAGACAGGTAGTGCTGGTTATCCTGCTAGGCTGGTAACCACAAGTAAGGACTTTTAAGTCTCGTGGAACAGTTCATATGGACTGTAAATCTTTAGTTCGATTAACGGCCCACTGATGGTAGAGCAGTTTTATCACGTCAGTATTTCACTCATTTCTTGTCAACAGTTCAAGTTCCATCACCTTTAAGAAAGGGCTCGATACGGGATGTTTTTTTTTTTTTTTTTTTTTTTTTCCTGGATCTTGTCACTAAGAAGTATTTTGGGCTTCTTTCAATTTTACCGACTTTTTGTTCCCTTTGTCTCTCCTAGACAGCGATATATTAAGTTTGAACTTGGTTTTTCCATTTCTCTAACCAGTGTTTCTTTTCATTCTTGAATCTGGAACCTTTTAGAAGTCCTGTAATTCTTTATCCTCGCGTTCTAATTTTCTTCTTTTTTTTCATAACGTGTGCCTAGAGCATACTTCTAATAGCATTGAGCTCATCCTCTCATAACACTACTTTTAATCGAAGTTACTTTCCTCTTTCTCTCAAACTTACTTCAGGAAAGTCATGGTTTATTTGGCTCCATTTAGTGTATATTGTTGAAATTGAATTTGTTGAATGCACAGTGAGTGTTTAATTGGCCTGGTCAGGAACACTGTGCACGTGAAGCTGAGCTTCATTTACGTTGGGGTTCAAGTTTGCTATTCTGAACACCATTATGTTCCATACCAGATCCTTATTTGTAAATATAGGATGAGGAGTATTTTCTTATCTGGTAGGTTCCGCTATCTGCCGATTTAAAGTAAATTAAATCACGATCCTAACAGTTTATTTGTATATATATGACTGTTATCCATTCTGCCTCCTGGTACCTCTGCCATTATGATATTTTATATTTTCCGTTTTAGGTGCCTTAAATTGAAGTCACCATGTAACAGGCTGCTTGAGAGTGAGTTTGAAAGGTTATCAAGGTAGTGTTGATTTTTCAGTATGATTTTTAAACTTCCGGGAAGTTGTTTCATTGTTTCAGTTTCACTGCTACAGCCTGGACTACGTCATTTATAATTTCAAGTAACTCTGTTCCAGTTAGTAACTCTTTAAATACAGACCAACTCTCCTTGTAGCATATTTTTCAGTGAAGGTTTCTTCTCTTTCAGCAAGGATTCTAATTTTTTTTTTCCTTGATTTTAAGAATCCAAAAAATATTTGGGATTACTTTGTTTCACTCCTGGCTTTGTATTCTCTCTCCCGTGTTTACCACGATACACTCAGTTTTATGATTATTTTATGTAATTTTTCGTCTCCGTCTGTAGAGGGAGTCTCTTTTCCATTTTCTTTTTTAGTGGTATGAGTTTAGAGTACACTTCTTTTGGCATTTATATTTGTTTCTTGCGTCAGTAGTGCGACAAACATTTCATCCCCCACACACTCGTACATTTACCTTCTATCAGTTTAAAGCCAGAAACCATCCATTGACGGCCCCTTCTACTGAACTAGCTAACGTTATCACTCGTGTCACATAAAAATGTATCCCATCCCATGCATACATATCATGTCTACCATAGAAATCATCCAGGCTTTTCCAGCCAACAATATATACCAGGTAACCTTAACATTAGTTAATTGCTAACTCATCTTCATACCCAAATGCACCATTGGGATCTCTGTCAGTAATGTCAGTGGTTTGTGATAACATAAATATAATTGTGTTCACTTGTGTGCGGGTTACTTATATATTATTTCAGTCACGGTATTGTGCCTTTTTGTTCTTTATATGCTAAAATCGTTTATTTTCTAGAGCTGAGCTGATAATTGGGTTGCTCTCACTATATGACATGGTGTTATCTAATGTTAACTATATCCTCCATTCCAGCCTCAAAGACACTATACTCTTCATATCTCAAAAAATATTCATGTCCATATATTTAACCTGTGAGTCTGACAATGAGTATATTCTTATCCTCACAAGTTATAGGTTTTGTTTACATGCATCTTCTTGACCAGTTACACAAGTGCAACATCTGCTTATCTTTATTTTGACGGTGTTTCACCGTTCCGTAGCTTCATACAGAGCTTGTTAACCGGGGACTTCAGAAGGTAAAGCAACAAGTCCCTCAGCCTTGTAGAAAGTTGAAGATTGAGACACTTATGCAACATATGGGAATCTTTATTAAGGAAACGTTTCGCCATACAGTGGCTTTATCAGTCCGATATAAAGCAGAAACTGGTAAGGAGAGGAGTTTGAGGTGATCAGTCCCTCAGTTCCTCGCCATTGTGTGGTGAAACGTTTACTTCATAAAGATTCCCATATGTTGCATAAGGGTCTCAATCTTCAACTTGTCGGTTTTCAAAACCATTTATCACACACTTGTAGAAAGTGTTCTCAATCTTAGTCTTGATAAATCTTTCATCAAGACTGATGTGGAGAACACCTTTAGAACTAAGGGACTGATCACCTCATCTTGTACTGTCTCCAGTTAATAAGCTCATTATTGATACGTCTTTCCTTGTAGATAACCGATCTACAATCATCCTTTAGCAAAGGAAATTGGGTTTGAACTCTTCATGTCTGCCTCAACTTTTATCTTTAATTTTATCCCTTTTTCCGCTCATCGTTCACAGATTATTACAATTATGTTCTTATGTTCTTACCAGCAAAAGAAATCAGATCCTCCTGTCTAAGAAGCTACTCATCTTTCTTGACAGCTTCCCATTCAGCTGTCTAAGATACATTTGGAAAGTCATATTAAGCAAACTGTAATTCTCCGCCTCTTTTGAATGTAGACAATGAGACCAGGTTCCCTGTGCAAGCTCTCACCTTCAGGATAAGTGGCTGTGTCTGTAATTGTTCCTCAGCCAAGATGCTCTCATAATTGTGCGAGGTGGTGGTGGTGGTGGTAGTAGTGGTGGTAATAGTGGTGGTGGTGGTAGTGGTTATGGTGGTAGTAGTAGTAGTGGTGGGGGTGGTAGTAGTGGTGGTGGTAGTAGTGGTTATGGTGGTAGTAGTAGTGGTGGTGGTGGTAGTAGTGGTGGGGTGATGGTAGTAGTGGTGGTGGTGGTAGTAGTAGTGGTAGTGGTTATGGTGGTAGTTGTAGTGGTGGTAGTAGTAGTAGTGATGGTGGTGGTAGTAGTAGTGGTGGAGGCGGTGGTAGTAGTGGTGGTGATGGTAGTTGTGGTGGTGGTAGTTGTGGTAGTTGTGGTGGTAGTAGTGGTACTGGTAAAGAGGTTATAGAGGGGAGGAAATTGTGGCTCCTTGGGTGTTGTGAGTGGCAGGAACAACGATACGTGGATGTCTTAGGTGGAGGTCGCAGGTGGTTTAATTATTGGGAAATAACGCCTCCAGCTGGTTTCTCCCGAGATGGA